CTTTTCATTTTCATCTTTTTTTTTTTTTCTTTTTTTTTTTTTGGCCCCGGAATTTGGGGACTACCGGTCGCACGCCGGTGGGTACCCCGGTCGACGCGGCACGTATACGGCCGTGTCGATTTCTTCAAGCAGGGAGAGGTACTGGTGGTGTAAGTTTGGCGGGTCTTCAGCTAATGAGACGTGACGAGGAGAAGCTGGATTGCTGACGGTGGATGGAAACAGCAGAAAACCGAAATAGACACAATTTGGGGCTCGCCACACCACTGTCGAAAGGCAAAAAAATAGACGGCTGTCCAAATAAATTTGACAGCCTCCTTTCTACAGTTTGACAGAAAACCGAAAAAGACACAATTTAGGGCTCGCCACACCACTGTCGAAAGGCAAAAAAAATCGACGGCTGTCCAAATAAATTTGACGGCCTCCTTTCTACAGTTTGACCCCCTTTAGCCACGCAGCACTGTAGAATGGACGCACTTGTAAATGCAAGATGGAAAAAGAAGAACGTGCCTGAGGGTACGACAATCCCGGACCTCACGCCCACTTGCCGTACCCTCAGGCAAGTACGTCCATGGCTGGTGAAACGGTATTCACCCATTCGCAGTAGCTGATGCAGATCCCAGGGCTCGATCCCTAGTCCCCACCTTACCTGTGTACAGTACCTGTGTCAACCCGTAGAGTTGAACCCGCGACCTGTAGGACGGCCAGTGGTAGGTAGGTTACAGGGTATAGGGGATGCGAACTGTAGACCTGTCGGGTAGGAGTCTAGAGAGTCCAGAGGTCTTAGCTGTAGACTTTCCGAAGGGTCAAAGTCGTAGCCGCTACTTACCTGAAACGGCGGAGTCGTAGCTGCTACATTACCGAAAGGCCAAGTAGATGTTTCTAGAAGTGGCCTTTCGGAGTCAGCCCACTGTAGGTCCAGGCAAGTGGGCAAGTGGTGGAAGTCCACCGTGNAAGGCCAAGTAGATGTTTCTAGAAGTGGCCTTTCGGAGTCAGCCCACTGTAGGTCCAGGCAAGTGGGCAAGTGGTGGAAGTCCACCGTGCAGAGTCAGCAGTCCCAGTCCAGTCAAGCAAGTACCGCCTGGGACTGTGTGCACCGTGGGACAGGGAAACAGGGCAGACCAACAAGTCACAGAAGTATAAATCAAGAGGCCGCGCACAGCCATTCATTCATTCCTGCGGAAGCCATGCGGAAGCGCTGTCTCAGTGTCTTGTGCGAGGAGGTCTGCAGCAGGCCTGAAGTCGAAGTGGGCGAGAGTGACGAAGTGCAGCCATAGCGATAGGGTAGAGGCAGCCAGCGCTGCCATAGCTGTAGCTTAGGGCGAAGTGTGTGTGTGTTGTGTGAGTGTTCAGAGTGTCGCGTGTGGGATATCCAGGGTGATCCGGTGTGTGTGAACAGTGGGTTGTTGGGCGCTGAGTCGCCATAGCCAGTGGAAGTGAACTCTCACCTGGAAGCCATATCTCTGAGTATTGAGTGGGCGCATGTCGCCAGTTTGCTGTGCTGCTGTTTACATACATGAAAAGTGTGAATGAGACGAGTCTAATTGCACTGGGTGGCTGAAGGGGGTCCGGGATTGCCTGACAGTACGGCAATCCTGGACCCCCTTTAGCCACCCAGCCATGGGCGTTGCGGGTGCGGGAAAAAGAAAACAAAAAATTGCAGGGGCGGTAGAAAAAAAAAAAACACGAGTGGCAGCTTGATTTTGCCACTTCCGAACTTCCAATGGCTAGAAGTGCACAAAGCTGTTCTTTCTGTTTTTGCAGTTTCTAACTGCCCTCGGCCCACAACCGCAGTGCCCTGTTATTCCTGCCAGTTCGGAACTGTACAGCGGTCACCCACACAGTTATTTCAAGAAAAAAAAAATTTGCATCTTCAAAGAGGCACCTGCATGGGAAACTGTAGACTCGGCAAAGAGAAAAGCAGGTGGATGCCACTTGTTGCATCAGGAAGTTCACTTCACTTATTTCTGCCTTGCCTGTTAATGGCCACGTTCAGACAAAATAGTTCAGAGACGTGCCAGTGCTTTTGAAAAAGAGGCTCAGGAGTGGTATGTTTCCAAACTATTTTTCTTTGGGTGGCCCGACAAAAGTGAGTGATGCCACTGATGTCCCTGATGGACACAAGTGTCGTGAGTCATTGCCAAGGGTCTCGTTAGACACTCCTAAAAGTGCCTGTTTTTAGGATTGCGTCTTCATTGCATGCAATCCTAAATCCAATTTCGAGATCGGAAATGTGAAAACGAAGTTTGGATGAGTCCTGAAGGATTTAGGATTCCCCAGGCAAAATTGTCGTAAATTTTCCAGTAGCCCCCGACCTACTGAAAAATTTAGGATTCCCGCGTTTCACGGACTCGTTGCATCGCGCGCATGGCCCCGTCGACACGGCGTTGCTGGTCCAGGAGCGGTCCGTCTGGTGGGTGGTCGGACATCGGAGGTTTTCTGCGGGTCGACACCGGCAACGGCGACCAACGGTAGCCGTTGGCCGACCGGGTGGAGCGCGGGGAGCCGAGCGTGGGCGGGCGGGCGTCCGTAGTGGACCGTTGGCTCGGTTGCGAGCAGCGGAGGACGACGACGACGTGCACGGGACGCCATACGGAGGCACTTCCGGCAGTGCGCGGTCGGCATGGTCGATTTTTGAATCACGGGCAGGCACCTTCATCGTCTTCTCTAGTGGTTGTCGACATATGAAGGTCCAGCGGCCCTATCCACCGGGATGCCAGAAGATACTTCTGCAGTAGCCACGTGGAAGGGCGCCTGCCTGCGATGCAATTGATGGCAGACATGCACAGGAGATCGCCTCTGCTGGTGCTCGCTGTGGTCGTCTTCCTGTTTGTCGTTTTCCTCCACGTGTGTTTGTCATGCCGGCCGTGGAAGCAACGTCGCAAGCGAACGGCGTCAACGAAACGGCAGGCAGGGGAACGTCCGATGGCGGGCATGCAGGCACGCACGGTTCTGGCTGCAGGTCAGGGCGGAAAACGACCTGCGACGACGGAGCCTCGATGGCGGTACGACCCGTCCATGTACACCCATCTAGAGTCGTGGGAGACGCCACTGCCCCAGTCAGATGAGGAGCCGGAGACGAAAGAACTTCCAACGTTGCCTCTCGCCAGCGGGTCGACGCAGTTGTTGTCGCAGACGGTGCGAGCAGGCGGGTCGGCTAGCAACGAAGGCGGCGAGTTCACCTCACTCCTGCACCAATGCCTGGGAGACGACGACGACAGAGGCCTTGATCTCATGTTCGGGTTGTGTTATGGCGGCGCTAGGGAGGCGAGCCGTACGTTCATCATCGACGCCGATCCTTCGCCACGTGGCCTTCAACGTGCTGGAAGTGAGCATATAAAGCAGTCCACACTTCGTGGCGGTGTGTCCATTACTGGCGGTGTCGGGCCTTCGGCAGCAGCCCGACAGCATGGATCGACTGCACCGTCCGCCGGTCGATTGACAAGTACGTGGCCCTCGCGCACTAGAGTCGCATCCGGGTCCCTGCGCATCGGCGATGCACGTCCTTCGATGCCCAACCGCACAACGCCGGCCCAACCCGAATTGAGGGACGAGGGCGCCCGCACACCACCGGTGCATCCAGGACCCACTGTGGAGAACATCACACGAGGAGTGTCAAACATGCGGGTACACAGCGATGGCGACGACGACGATGGCGGTAGCGGTGACGATGCAGACGAAGGATTGAGGGAGGACGTGGAAACATGGGACGACGACGACGACATTCCTATTCAGCCTTTGGGGAAGACGGGTGGGAGGTGGAAAGGACGCAACAGAGGTGCTGTTCGTGGTCGATCTGTTGGCCGTGACGACAGAGGTGGCGTCAGCGACAACGCCTGGAAGTCTGTGACGTTCTGGTCAGCAAGAGGGAGCCAGAGATGCACCTCGCCAGGCAGGGTCACAATTACGAGCGGATGCGGACCAAGGAGTGAAAGTGGGACGACATTGCGAAGCGCATGGCTAACGCGGGGAGGCCTAAAGACATCGACGACTGCATGAAGAAGTGGGACAATCTCTTCCAAGACTACAAGAAGATACAGAGGTTTCAAAATGTCAGCGGCCAGGCAGATTTCTTCAGGCTATCGAATGAAGAAAGGAAGGAGCACAACTTCAAGTTCCGGATGGAGAGGGTGTTGTACAACGAGATCCACGCAGGCATGTTGGGGAACCATAAATTGGATACAATTTTCCCTCCCAACGTCGCCGACACCTGAAGTCCGGACAGGGTGCAGCTGCCCCGACGAGGAGCGGTTGGTAGGGAGTCTATTGGTAGTGAGGCCGGTGGTGACGGCTGCCCTGAAGAACGTTCTTCTGCGAGGGACTCCGACAACAACGCACGCAGTGGGGCTGGAGGCGGGAAGCGGAAGAATGCGCGTAAACAGGCGTTGGAGTTGATCGTTGATGTTATGGACCGCCATGGTGAACTGATGTCGGCGACGATCGATTCGTCTAGCAAGCGGCAATGCAGCATATTCACGAGGCAATGCGATATACTCGAGCAGGAAGTTGCAGTCCAAAAAGCGCACTATGCGGTGTCGGATGAGACGCAGAGGATGATGTGCCACGCGCTTATGGAGATCGCTGCCGCCGACCGTGGTCGGTCGCCGATGTAGGTCGTTCGATCGTGCGTTGATTGAAGTCCAGTTATTGCGTTCGTAGTTAGCATAATTTCTTTATTTTTTCTTAGTTCACGGATTCTTCTATCGAGGAGCACGGTGGTAGACTGCACGGTGTGTGTGTGTGTGCGTGTGTGTGTGTGTGTGTGTGTGTGTGTGTGTGTGTGTGTGTGTGTGTGTCGTCCACACAGTTGTGTGTGTGTGTGTGTGTGTGTTTTTATGTAGTCATCATTTTCGACGACCAGAGTGCATCGTCTATGTTTTGGTGGCTCGAGAACCATAGAGCCGCATTTGAAAGGGGGTGTGTTGTTTGGGGATTGTGGACGAGGGGGTCTGGAGTGGAAAGGGGGCGGGGGGTCGGTGGCTGCGCGGGGTAGGCTCGATGGGGTGGCCAGGGGTGAAGGTGGGTTCTCTTACTTTTGGTCCCTGGCGAGTGAATTGACGCGCGTCACCAGGGACATCGAAGGGTCTTTTCGTGCCTTGGGGAGGATGATAATGACACGCCAGGATAGGCAGGGTGGTGTCTGGTGGCACCATCGAAGATGCCTTTTCTCGCCACAGAGAAGCGACGTCGTGGACGGTCCATCTGCTGCGTTAGCTTCAGTCGTGAGCATCCCAACCTGCATGAATGTCTTCCGCACTAGGGTGTCTCCATTACAGAAGCCCGCTGCGCCTGCAGCACACTGACCGCAACGACGCGCAAGCCTGCTCGCCGCGGATAAATGTCGCATGCTCCCCGCGGACATCTTCAGTGCCGCAGAGGACCACCGTCAACGCCATTGTAGCCATCTCGTCACGTGGAGGATCTTCGCTGGAGTCGTCGTTCTTCTTTCGTACACGTGGACGTCCGCCGTCAATCATTCCGCCGTGGAGCACTCTCACTGTCGCTCTTTTGTTCTTCTCGCTGTCAATCTTTTCGCCGCGGAGTGCTCTCGCCGGGGTCGTCGTCCTTTTGTCATGCACGTGTATGTCGTCGTCTTCGTCCCACGGAGGAGAGATCTTCTGCGTCGTAGGGGTATTCGTCCTCGTCAGGCTGCAGCAACACGGGAGACATTTTTCTCGCCAGATCGGTGGGACTTCAAACGACGGTCGATGAAGCACTTCCCGCTCATCCGATCAGACCGCCAAGCTCACGTGCAGAGGTCCCGACAAAGCATGTCTACATGAGGGACTGCCCATGGTAAGAAGTGCAACGACGTCCCTGACGACAGCCCAGGGCAAGGAAGAGGTCGGCGGCATGTCCCGAAGGCGAAGAGGGCGTGTGTCACGGTATGTGGATGATGCGCCAGCAAGCGTGCCTCCTCGTCGAGCGCAAGGTTGGGCGGCAGCAGCGGAAGGGGACTACGACGACAACTTCACGAGGGAGGAAGAGCAGGCAGAGGCAATCGCGTCTGCAGTACAAGAGAGCGCTCGGCAGCGCTCTCCTGATCAGAGCGCTTCGAAAAGGATGCTCACCCCTCCGCCCGAGGCACGGCAACTGCGTGCTCGCGACACGCGGACAGAGAAGGTTCTCGTCGTAGATCTGGCGGCGATGATGACGAGCCCTTGGATAAACGTCGCTTGCGCAGTCTTGCACAAGGCACCCTTGCGCTGGCGGCGACGGCACGAGCAGCGGTAGACGAAAGGCGACTTCGGGTAGATAGCCCGCCACGCCGTCTCAGCCACGTCAGCGCAACCCGGGTGATGACGGAGGGTCCGTCCACCGAGGCAGCGGGGGGCAAGTTGTGGCAGACGCGCTCGTAGTTGGGGGCGAGCCGGCAGGTGCTGCGGGTGCGGGTGCTTCAGGCACTGTAGCCCCCGTTGCGACGACGAGAGAGGAGGCAGCAGTTGTTGCGACGGCGAGAGAGGAGGCGCATGGCAAGAACAAAACTGATCGGGATGGCGGCGAGCCCGGTTCAAGTCGGGTACGTAGGCGAGTGATGACGAAAGACCTCATCGATCGTATCGTGCTTTGGGTTGATGACAAAGCTTTCTGGACGACGGGGAGGGGCGAAGACTATACAACATCCTCCACGAAACGAGATAGTACTTTGTCGCCATCGCCAGCGGCCTTCCAGCGCTTGTCGTCCCTCGGAGCGTCGTCCTACCCAAATCCAGCACGAAGGTAGCCAGGATCACCTTCCCGTCACAGCTGTAGCAAGCGATCTCTCGTGCGGCGGCAGTTGAGAACATTGCTTTGCGCATCTTGCACGGCTGGGTATTCAAGTCCGGGAACCGCCCAAGGGGATACAATGTGGCTTTCCAGTACTCGCTCGAGTCCGTAGCGACGGACATTGCACGTGCAATGTGGTACGGCGAGGAGTGGTGCAACGTTGTCAGTGTGGCGGTATGCATGCACACGATAGATTTGTCCATGGATTCGTCGGCGCCAACATCAAGGACAGACCTGAGGATGACGACATGGCGGCATACCCGGAGTCCACCGTCATCTGCATCACGCATGCATTCCGCACGGCGGTGCAAATGGGTGCGCACATCGAGAACGACTTTATCTCGTACAACCGTCTCTGCCGAGTGGCTGACTGCTTCAGGTTTTTGTTGGGGTCGTGCATGTGGATAATGCGCATGACGGGAGATGATCCACGCAGCCACTATGAAGCTTTTCACTTCGCAAACCTGCTGGCGAAGCCCACACTCGTCTCATCCATGCATCGGTCCTTCGATCATCGACGATCCGTCGTCTGCGCCGCAAAAGTCATCACAGAGAGGCTTGGGAAGGCGAACCCCCCGACTACATCCCTGCATGGTCACCCTGCAGCATTGGTTTCAGGAACAACACGGGCATAACGGGGCAGGAGGATGCGAAAAAGCTAGATTGGTTGGGTTCGGGCCCCCCGATGATGACAACAACGACGATGGAAAAAATGACGCGTAGGGGGAGGGGGGAGTGCGAGATGGAAAAGATGACGCGTAGGGGGTGGGGGGGCGGCGCTTGTGTGAACGAGGGCGCACGTACACGTGGCTGGTCGTGATAGGCTTCACTGTGGTTGGACCGTTGTATAGTGCGCACCAGTTTAATTTGTCGGTCCGAGGGATTGACCCAGAATCGTCGCCGGTTGTGCAGATGTTTAGTGTGTCGGTCGTGGCATAATGACGGGTTGATTGATTTCAATCGTGTATTTTGCATGCAGGTCAGGGCTGTTTAGTGTGTCCGTCGTTGGAATCGACCACGGGTTGATTGATTTAATTCCTGTATTGTGTTTTTATCATCGCAGTTCGTTGCGCAAGAACTTCAGAGCGCTTTTAGCGCACCCTTTTTTTTCTGTCATGTGTCCATTGTTCTCGTCTCTTCGCTGGAATGATTCAAAGATGATTGCCTCCTATGCATGCACACAATCCATGTTTACCTTTCTCTTTTTTGTATTTTTCTTCGTTAACTTACATTATGCAGGTTTTATCAATGATTTCAACAGCCATGTTTGACGTCCCACCACACCACCACATGAAACCATTCATGACAAACGAATAGAAGAGAGAAAAAAAAAAAAAAAAAA